CTGAGCTGTTAGTCCAGGGCATTCATTCATCTCTTGCTCTCTCTTTTAGAAACACATCATTTGTCTTTTTCTTTCAAGGTTTAAATGTGTGTATAAAGGAAAAGTCCAAAGGCAATAATTATGCTCTGCATAATTATTAACTTTTTTTTCCCTCCTTTTCAGCCTACTCAGTATCTGTGATGTTTCTGAATCTACTGTGAGGCTTTTTTTGTAGTATCTTTGTTTTAAGTGAGTAACTCAGCTGTATTCCATGACGTGCATAAAGAAATGTGCCTGGCAGTGCTGGTGCACAAATCCAGCCCAGGAAGGGGAGCAATGCCACACAACCTGGGACCAACCCACACAGCTCCAGGGCTGGTCAGGGAACTTCAGCACACTGTGAGCTGAGGCAGGAAAGTTGGGATCTGTTCCATTACAAGCAAACATGGATCAAGCTGTTGTATCAGTAACTGTAAATTATTTATGCAATTTAAAAAAAATAAAGTGGAGCACTACACAGTGCAGAGAGTGTGAGTAACAGAGGTAAAATAATCAACTGGAAAGCCTGCTTTGCCAATGCAGGGGAAGGAGGGGTGGGAGAGCTGCTCCAAGGAAGGCTGGGCAGAGGGGAGCAGGCAGCCTCGGGCCAGAGCTGGGTGCTCCTGGAGGCTGCACAAAGGTACTGCCGGAGGGGTGGAATCCATCCCAGCAGTGACCCTGGCAGGAGCTGCTCTCTCCACCCCTCCTGCCTTTGCAAGCAGAGCCAGCATCTCAGTCAGAGCTCTGGGCACAGCAACACGTGGAAAATACAATGCCATAACAGTACATCTGATTTACAAAGCTGAGGCTAATTAACTTGACTCAGTCTCTTATTTTGCAGGGCGAAGGAAGAAAAACATCCATTTGCATTAGCTTCTGCTGTGGATAAGATGCCTGGAAAACCCTTTCCCTAAGGCTCTCAGCCAACAGGAGTGCTGACCAGGCTGGACAGAGGATGCCTTCAGGCCCCTGCAAGCAGGGTAAGGACCACAGCACATACCAAATACACAGCCAAGGGTCCTTTCGCTACCATGAATGAAAAATATCCCTGGCCTGCAGCCAAGTTTGGGTTGGCCTGCAGCAGGGGTTTTGGGCTAGTCAGTCACCAAAGAACAGTGAGCAAAACTTCTCCGCCTGTTTACTAAAAGCAAAACTTATCCCTTACATTTATCTGTAAATATTTTCCAACGTGAGCAGTGAAAGAGCCAAGCCACCCGTGAGCAGGGCATGGTTTCCTCTCGACTCATGATGGATGTGAACAATGAATGCTGCTTCTGAGAGCAGCAGAACTGATGAAGTTTGCTTTGCTTTCTTTTCATCTCTCCCTCTTTCATGTCGCCTGTTTTCCACCCCTGCATATGTGCAGTCTCTGATGCCTGAGCTGCTGAGCCTCCCTCCCTTTTCTGGAGCAGGACCAGCTCTCCTCTCTGCGGATGCTCATCCCGCTACGGGCAGGACGGCAGCGCCGGGCCCGGCAGTGCCGAACGCTCCAGGAGCTGCTGCCCCTAGGGATTAACCCCCACTCAGTGTGTGCCTCAGACTGCTGAGTCAGCTCTACCAAACATTAGCACATCCATGTTAACTGGCCTAAAAACTTGTAGGAAAAAGTAGGGAAAATTGGATTTCTAATGAGTAGCAATAGCCAAGGACATAAATGTGTTCACTGATACAAACTCTGCAGATGCTGGATTGCCACAGTCCGTGTGAGAACACAGTGCTTCCTGCTCAGGAAATGTTCAAGCCTGCTGAGACTGACTGACTGACTTAAGAAATGTTTGAGCCCTTTGTAAGAATAGAAGGGTCTGGACCTCCACACTCAACAGTCTCCAGCCTTTCCCCACTTCTGTTTCTGGTAAGTTACAAAACCTGTGTGTGTCTGTCTGTGTCTGTGTGTGTGTCTGTATGTGTGTGTGATGACACCAAGCTCAGCAGGGCCCTGCTCTTGCTTAGCCACTGATGAGACAGCTTTCAGCAGCCACTGTGTGCGTGGCTGTGACAGCCTGGCAACTGCATAAAAGTTTTCTAGGAACACTGCAGTGTGACACAGAACAAGGTAAGTACTAGAAGTTTAATAAGTCAGCGCATCCAAGGCAGGACATGCACTAAGGACAGCACATGGCCTGGGCAGGAGGAAGTGTGGCTCAAACCAGGACAGCTGGATTTGAAAACTGACTGGTTGTATCAGCATATTGAAAAAACACAGCCCAGTTTTCTAAATAATAAAAACCAAAATATGTTCCAAATTTGAACAGTTCTTCATGTATGGCAAACAGATTAAAAAGTTATTGATGTTTACTTAGAGTTTTTGTGCTAAATCTCTGCCAGGTTATTTAACAAACAAAAGCAGCAGCAGCCCTGGGTCACCCTTCTGCTGCAGGTACAATGTTTCCTCTGAACCAAGTTTTCACCTCAGGAAAGTCTCTCTGCCTGTGCTGGTACTTCCTTTTTGAAATGTAAAGTCTTAATTTTTGTAAATTGTTATCATCAAGTATTATGTTAACATCTATTTTTAAAATTTTTAAGATAACATTGCTTTGCTGATTGTTCCAATATCCCCTAACAATGAAATATAGTAATACAAAAGTTAACTAAGGTATAAACATGCAAAAGGAGAAGTCTCCCTGCGATCATAAAATGATGTTATTTTCTGTTCAGCAGTTCATGTTACTGCTGTTCATGCTAATTAATTAAAGGAGCTGTTGCTGTAATGTGCAAACAGGGAATCTGAGAAACTGAGAGGGCTTTTAGGTCTCGGAGTGAAGTTAAGTCAATCTGGGCGCGGGCAATCAAATGTAATGAAATCACTTGTCAGTGCTAAGCTTGCAAAAACTGTGAAGTTTGACTAGGGAGTAAAAGGATTATAATTAGATTTCCAATAGGATAATAACTAAATGGCAGAAAGCAGTAAAGAGAAAATATTACTTTGTTAGCTAATGGTGCTGCTGTTCGGTTTTAGTTTTTATCAGCACACTTGTAGTTGTGCTAATTTAATTTGCTTTTATCAGCAAAAATGCACTACTCAAATGGTACTTGAATGTCATTTGCAAAAATCATTGATCTGAAGGTGCACTTAATGACACCCAGTATGTTTATTTTATGTGAGATGGAGATTGGTTGATAAGATGGCTGATACACCATCTTGCTGTCCCACGAGTGCATGATGGCAGCGAGACCAGGAGGGGTCTGTGTGCCTGCATCCCCCTCCTCTGCCCCACTCAGCCACCCAGGGGGCTTCAGGACCACAGCAACCAGCCCTCTTTTAGTTTCTCAGCTAAAAAGCTTCTCTCAGATCAAGCTACACTGTACTAGAAGGGTGAGGATGGAGGTATTAGACTCTGAAGTTCAAAAAAGTTTTAAGTCTCACCTGCACAAAAACTCTGTTTAATTAACATACAAAGCACAGGAAAGATGAGCCAACTAAATGGAGAAGATGGATCATGCAGCTCAGAGTCCCAGTATATGAACAGCTTGTGTTAATAAAATCATTTTAAGAAATGAGCGTAAAATATGATATGACTTAATCACTGTGAAAGGTGGCTGTGCAGTATTTTTTTTCTTTAAACTGTCTTAAGGAGACACTGGCAGTGAAACTAATTGAATTTCAAAGGAAAGGCACAGTGTGAACCATAGATTTCTGTCCAGCAGAGCTATTGACAACACAAAAAAGGCTGCACTGACACTAAGACTCTTTTTTTTTTTTCTGTGCAGTAGAGAGAGAGATTTGGGAAGCTTGGAAACAGCTTTGTAATAGGGACGTGGATTTTGACCCTTCCTCCTCCCAGGGCCCAAAAAACAAAGGCAGCAAATGAAAGGGGCCATGAGGGAGTGGGCTTCAATTGTTACAGACAGCAGGGCAAGAGTAGCTGCCAACTACAAAAACTGTAATCAAAGGAAAAGAGAATAAAAAGATACTACGGCTATCAGCAGAAATAAAAATTAAAGGTGCTGCAGGACAGAAACACCTTGAAATCTAAACAAGTTCAGCAGAGAGCTCTTCAGAAGCCTGTTTAATCATGTGAGAGGGCACCGTCTCACCTCAGGCTGGTGTACCCAGGTGTACTCCAGGCAGGGCTGCCCTGCTCCCAGCGTGGGCTCTGGGGCTGTCCAGGGGCTGAGGCCCCAGAACACTGAGTACACCCCCTTCCCCAGGCTTCTCCCTGAACCCAAACTTTGTGATCCAAAGCTTGTTCAAACTAAAGAGTGATGTGCTTGTTTAGACTTATGTGGGGAAGAAAAGAACAGTTTCCCATAGCTTGGGATGAAGATTAAAAAAAAACAACCCACAAAACAGCAAATGAAAATACAACCTGAAAAAAAATAACATCACCAGGTTTTCCTGTATATCAATAGACTACAGGAAGGGTGTGAAAGGTCTCTTGATTCCTTCTAGTAAGTAAATGACTGTTGGAAGTGGCTCTTCATCCCCTTCCCCACAGTTATTTATAATAATTTTTGATAGGAAAACACATTTGAGCCAACTGTAACTTTCTTCCTTCAACTGAAAATATGAAATTCACTGCCTTTTCTTTACTAGATTCTGCCCAGATGCAGCTCTGACCCTCAGAATATTTTTTGCAATGTGCTCTTCCAAACTCTTCTCAGCAGGGATCATAACTAGATGGAGAAATGTTAGGAATATTTTGCTTCTGAAATGTAAACACATGTCCCAAGTGCTTACCCAATAGTTGACTGTTTCTGGCAGTAAGGATTTTCAAATTGCAATATTTACAGCCAACAGTGTACACATACATGTATACATAGAAATACATGTTATGTGTATAGAGGCATTACAGTGAAGCTGTGATTTTCCTCTTGGCAATACACAGCACATGAACCTGAAATCACACAAAGAGCAGCAGTAAAAGCAGCTACTCTCTCCAGCTGCCAGGGGGACGACCACTGCACACCAGGGATTTGCAAAGTCCAGCCTTGAGCAGCTGAGAGATGCTAGAAGTTGTTTGTCACTGTCCTGCAGTGCTGCTTCTGTCCCCACAGAAAGGGACTGTCTTTTGTGCCCTCAGCACAGGTTGTGTTTTGCTCATAACCCTTCCATGACTCAGCAGAAGGGTGGGAGTGCTGGCAGCAGCAGCAGCAGCAGGGACACTGGGACGGGCCCCTGGCTGGGGGCTGCTCCCGCAGCCAGCGCAGCCCTGATGGGCGTGGAACTGTTGTGGAACTGGCCTGAGGGAGGAAAGGTTGGTTTGGAGCAACCCAACACTACACACCTGGACTGTCTCCACAGTCAGAGAATGTCTGTGGTCAAATTGCTTAGAGCCAACTTTATCACAGGTGACTGTGGATGCCCAACAGGCTTCCCACGGTAACGGTTCCTTGAGATGTCAGTACCTCAGCACCCTTAAGCGGTGATTATACAACTCCCTTTCTCCACAGCCCTACAGCCAGGATGCATTTATTGGTTTTTGGGAAGCGCTCAGACAATACCTGAATGTTCTGTATTTACAGTGAAGAAAATGGAGCACTACATAATTGTTCATAACATGAATATGACTTCCCTTTTCTACTTACAGTTTACTTTTTTTTTTTTTTTAACATCTATGATCTTGATAGAAACGTAAGGATCAGAGGAAAAGTATTTTAAAAAGATAAATCATATATAGCATCACTTTACTAATCACAAGTATCTGATAGCTAAGTATGAGTTTCTCACACCTCTACTTAAATTTTATGTCTGGCCTTAAAAAGGTTCTCTACATTGAACAGGAAAACAAAATGAAGTTGCATAATTTACACTTCTCTTAAAGCAGGAAAACAGAGAGAAAACCTATTTGGCATTTCATTTAATTGTAATATGGCTCCTGATAAGCCCATGCATGATGGGATGTGGTACATACTGCACCTTGCATTGCTGCACTGTCATGTTGGGTTCCGTTGTGTTCTATTTCCATGTCTGGGATTCCAGCATCTGAAAGACGTGACACCGAAGATTAATGCATCCCCCTTTGTCCTTCTCTCATGCATCTTTAGAAAAATATTTACAGCAGACTAGGGTGATCTCCAAGTTACACGGTCTTGCATAAAACATTTGGTCTTCATAGAATTTTCAGTAGTAAATTGTTTCCAAAATGTGCAAACATTACTGGTCTTGCAGCAAATTATTTTTAACGAGCTTCACATTTGTCTGATGATCAGATAACAACCACCACATGATATTAATGGCTGTAAAATTCTCCTGGAGAATGAGGCCATCTGACATATGAAAAGTAAGTCACAAACTGTGACAGCACTGAACCACATTGACTCTGCCAGCCATGCACCTGCAGTGCTCAGAAATGCAAAGTGCAGCCAGAGCCACTCAAGGTGTGTGCACCAGTTTGTGTGGTGCACCCTCCAGGCAGAGACTGGGAAAACTGGGGAAAAGGCTCAGCTGGGGTGTTGCAGCGTGTGGTACCACCCAAAACAAACCTAGATAGGTGACAGTATGTGAAACACTGCCAAGTCTCCGATAAGAAGTTTCCACAATGGCCTGTGCTCTTCTTTTACCAAGCTGAGTGAGTCCCCTAATGGTACACACTTTTGAACTATTTAATTTCCTATTGGTAACACCTCTGTAGGCACAGTCCTTGGGGATGGGGGTGGGGCTCAAACACCCCAGGGTGGTGAGATAACAGATGCCATTATCCACCTTGTGCCAACAAGGATTAGCATGAAGGGTATGTGATTTGAATCCATGGCACCTCGAATCCTGAAGAAACATCTGCTTCCCTTATAACACAGCACTGAAAAAAACCCACACCTGAAAGGGAGCTGCTGCATGTACAGATTGGAAGGGGTTTTTTTGGTGTAGGATCCTGTTCTGGACTTTCTCAGAGAAGAACTGTCCTGTGACTTTCTGAGCTCACTGTAGTTGGCCTATGAGCAAATTATTTTTCATGTATAAAATTTTTTCTTACAGAATTCCAGGTGACTGCTATTAATGGGGTTTCCAATACTCAGATCCCTGTTTTGAAGGAAAGTCGAAGGCACTGATCTACTAATCTAGAAAGGTTCTTTCTTTTCAAACCTTTCAGAGTACATGTATATATGTAAAATGACAAAGTCATCTGTAACTAATAACAGCATCTGTTAAATGAGACAGACTGCCAGAGTTAAATTAAAAATATTCACAATAGCCCTTCACATTTTGTTGTCATAAAATTGTACCTGCAATTAAATTGTGGATTAAGATGCTAATGAGCTACCTGATTTGCATGTGCAATCAGATTAACATGTAAATATCAGGTTCTCGCAGGCACTAACATATATATGACTACCTGCGTGTGCCTGCAAATCAACCCGTTAGCAGCCAGGCCCACAGCAGCAGATGTAAAGAGCTGTTGATCACCTTGCTGGTGTGTTGGTCCCCTCTGGTTTGTGGCTCCCAGCACTGCTGAGCACCACAGGGCGATGGCAGAACCCAGGTGAATGACCTTACAGAGCAGCAGGAGGTTTGGGTTTTCCTGACATTCATCTCAAGGCCCTGGCCGTGTCTGCGGGAATCTCATCTGGGCATTTTTCTGGTCCAGTGGAGTTGGTGGAAGAGGTTTCTGCTGGCTCTGTCCACCTGCTCTCCCTTGGGTCAGTCCCTTGTCAGGGTGCAACTGCAAGCTGTATCTCCCTGCCAGAACCACCACCCTCCCTGTCAGCACATCAGACAAGCCAGCTCCTGGCTACAGAGAGAAGCTGCAC